ATCCCGCTCTCGGTTGTCTCGAGCGCGTCTCCCAGCAAGCTTTGAGCTCTGTCCGCCTTCCGTCGGCGTCTTGGCACGGCTCACGTTGCGTCTCGAACACCTTTGATCCCTGTGGAAATCACCCTTTTTACGCCTCCCATATCAATTCATTATCTATGGTCCAACGATCATCCCCGAAGTCTACGTCAACAAAAGCGACAGCGTCGCCGATCGCTCCAAGATTCAGCTCTCATTCACTCGGAAAAGATTTGGTTACTTCTGACGCAACGGTACCCCAGCATTTCGTATGCTGATTGGTTCATGATTGCATTTCAAATGTATTCAGGTATTTGATGGTGATCCTTGTCATTTCCGATTTCCCTGGTCGAGAGGAGGCGAGTGTCAAACGTGTCAGCTGTTATCTCAGCCAAGAGGAAAAAAATACGATTACACAAGGGTACGCTCATTCGGCGAAGCCAGTGATCTGGGCCAGATTCCAATGTCGTTTTCTAGGTCCAAGGTGAACAGCTTCGTGGATTGTCTGTTTTGAGCGTACCTGGAGATTCATCGCGAGGAAGATCCACTTAGCTTGTCGAGCGTATTGTCGTCTTTTGGTAGCTTCGCGAGGCTCCGCGGTAATATCCGAGACGGGATTCTGATGCCAACTCACCTACGAAGACGATCCCGGGGGCTCAAGTTCTGGTCTCGTAGAAAAAAAAACACATTCTGTGAGTCACAAAGAGCGAAAACAGGGGAACGGCTCAAGGATCCACAACAGAGCCGCGGGAGAGCAGGGATGGGGACATGTAGAGACTGGGGCGTTCAGAAGAAGGCCCGCGCCTCAAGAAAAGGTAATCCCCCTTGAGTGAAATGCCGAAAAAATACGATTAGTTCCGGGCTTCATTCAACGATACACTTGTCGTCCAGACCTAGGAATATGGCGACGCGGAGGAAAGCAGTTACACTACCCATCCACTCGGGCGAACACAGAGGTGAGCTGAGGGCGTAGGAGCGTAGCATAATTCATGCGGAATTCAATAAAGAACGATTCTCCGAGGTGTTTTAATCCAGGTGGAGATGGGGCTTGGGAGGGGGAACTCGATGGAGGAGGTGTTCCGCGCAAGAGTCACCTGCATCGCTTAAGGCTATGGATATGGCATCGGAAGAATAAAACCTTGCATACGCATACAAAAGAATCGGAGGAGGATGAGGGGAGAAAGAAGAAGACGACGACTAACTTGGTTAAAAGCCCGAGCGATAGACGTGAACTCGCTCTCTCTGCTCCTATCTCCTTATTCTTAGCTTAATGGGATTTTTGTTAGCCATGAGCTGAAGCCGAGCGAGAACCCTACGGCACTACACCAATTGGATCAACGTCAAGAGCACAGATGGCGGAAGGGTATACTGAACAGCCATCAAGGACGTTCTGGACTTGATTTGGAACCGGTCGAGTCCGGCATATACATACAATGCCGGTCTGATTGAGGGGACCCATGAAGAGGTGCGATTTCATCAGAGTACATATATGCCTATGAGCCTTCCGCTCTCGAATCGGCTCGAAATATCGGTCTCTGGCCCTCTGTGGATCTCCCGGCAGCTGACTGCTTCTCTGGACTCGGAAAGGTTTCCTGATTCCGCTCATTTTCTCTCCACGATCGATTTGTGGAATTGAGAGCCCTCGCGGACACGTGGATTCCCGAAGCGGGCTTCTATAAGACGTAAATTCTAAGTATTTCCTTATGGAGACTTGTCAATGGTCGTCCTATCCCGTGAGAAATTCAGAATCCCTTTATTCATATAATCACGGTTCAGAGGATCGCCGTAGCCAGTGTCCTGGCTCGAGCCTCCGACTTTGACCGACAAACAGATGCGATTCCCCGGAAGATCGGGGGAGGAGGCGACGATATCGAGACCATCTTCTCCGACCGGCTTCCCAGTCGAAAGGATCTTGATTTTTTCCCGCGATATCCGCGCGGATCGTCTCGTGACGTGAACTGAGAGCAATTCCGGTTTTCGTTCCGTTGTGAGAAATCTCGCGCGCGGAGCACTTCATAACGCGACCTTCGGGAGCTGGCTCCTCGGATAAACGAAAGTTGGCAGACAAGAGAATTTTCATGTCAAATAAACACACCGTGCGAGAGTCGGCGTGATCGAATTACTACGACGCGCCAGACTCGTTCAATTGACGTCAGCCAATGACTCAGTCAGTCGGCCGAGGACAACCTTGCGACGCGTGTTATTCAATTCCAATCGCTCACGGTGCGACCCGAGTGATTTTCGCTTTCTCCGATCGGCTGCCGCTGAGCACTTATCGATAGAGAGCAACATGACCGATCGCTACGGTGACATCAGATGGAATGCGGGAATCACCCGGTGAGCTTTTGAGCAGGGGTTCGTTCAACCAGACTCTGGTACCTGGATACGCGGATGGATAAATTCAAGAATTCATTCGCATAAGGAGAATTTCGACCGTTCTTCACGTCGCGTCGACGGACTAGCGGAATTAAACTCTGGAGCAAGTTAGGACGCAGAGTTGCGGCGGTCGGCGTGCGGAGAGCACGGCGTACAGGAATTGAGCCAAATTGGAACAAGTACCTACTCGCTCGAAGTTTTTGCTCGATGATGAATGAATGAATGGACAGAACCATGGACGGTCAGGAGCCCGTGAGTCGTCCTTCATGAGAGGCACGGCGATTTTTTTAAAACCTTGTCCATGCGATACGAGGCATCGGTTGAAGCGTGCGCCTGTCCGTTGTCCGCGGAACGAAGTTCACGCGTTCCCCACTGGTTAGTGAATCATTAATCATTTTTGCGACGGCGAGAGTCCAGAGTGCGCCTGGCCGTGCACTCCGTGTAGCGAAAAACAATAAAAACAAAAGCTCCAGCGGCCGTTGTCTTTCGAAACTGATTTGGTGATTCGGTCTCAATCTCTGAATTCGGTGATGGCAGGCGGTGGCGTGGGGCAAACCTCTCGAACGTTCACGATGAAACTTTTCATGTGAACAGGCGCGAGATTCGACGCGATACGGAACATCACACTAGCTCGAGCCTAGCAAGCAAGGATCACGCTAGTTTGTGAAGGAACTATTTCGCGCCAAGCTCAGCTGCTGATGAGTTTGTTCGCGCCAGCTTAGGCGCTTCTAGTAGTTGTTGTTGTTGATGTGGTCGACGACGAACTTCACTCAGAAATTCTGAAATCTTTTCATCGCGACGCGTGAGCTCGAGAGCTAGCTCGAAACTTCTATGCCGATCAGCAAACAAACAAGTCCTCATTCACCAACGTTCCGCTTTTGACGGAATTCATCGCGTCTACGAGAGCGAACCGAGTTCTGGATCGGCCTACCGTCGCGAAGCGTGATCCGGTGTCCATATTTTCCCGCGGGAGCATCGTTGAGAGTCGAGTCCTCAACGCATCGGAGGTAACGTTTCCGATTAATTACGAATGAACAGGCGAGAGCTGCAAATCAGCGCAACAGCATGTGTCCCCCGCCATTCGTTTGCAATCATGCGTCGAATCTGAGCTAGTGAAGTGATATCCATCGATTGCGGCTCACTCATCCGTCACTTCAGAATGAATTCTTACTGTTCCTTCCGATAGATATCGGCTTGCATCTCATAATCGGCACGCGTCAGAAGTTCATGGTACCTACTTCAATTCGTGTTAACGCGCCCGATTAGGTCGCTGTCAACGTCCTGTGGACGTTTATGGCGGTCGGTGGCGCCCGACGGAGAATTGAGTGCTCAGCGTGTCTGTCGCATCTTCGGGGATCGTTTTCCATGAACTTCACTGCGTAAACTCCCCCGCGTGAATTACTTTTGCGTGAACTCCACTCTTCGAGTTCCGACCCGTCGATCTCATCCCAGGGAAGGCCACTGGCGGGAATCGGTGCTGGTATGATGCTAAGAACCAACACGTTTCGGATTCTCGCCCGGAAAGAGAATCCCCGAACAGATGCGTCGATCTCCACCGATTTGCACGCTATGCTCGATGGATTGGAATGGATCCGAGTCCCGAAAATCAACAAAATTCCGACGTCGCGTTCCGCAGATGCTCCAATACTGTTTTCGAACGCTCGGCCCGGGATTCCGATTCACTCTTAATCAGTGCATCGGAATTCCGATAATATTCGCGGCCAACCGCGATTCGACCGAAAGCGCTTCTCAGTGAGCGTGTCTCCGGAGGGCAGTTCCTTTGTGGCGGCCGATGACGACCTAGACAGCCAGTGTGTCATTCATGACAAGAGCTGAACATTGGACTGTTCCACGGTCTATCAAAGATATCTTAGTCCACTTCAAGGGTCAGTCTCTTTGCCGTGAAGCTCATTGCGCTCCTGATAAGCGAGCGGTGCACGATAAACTCAAACGGCACCTAGCAACAGACGAGAACATCGAAACTCGAGCGTTTCCAATTAGTGGCACAATAGACAATCGAGTACTGCTCCACCGCTCATCTGACAGCCTTAGGAAGCGAGCGAGTCGAGATAATCCCGTCTGGAGAGTATTCGCTCCCTCGCGATTCGGAAGATGCTTTCCGAGTCGGCGACCTTTCCGAAAGCTCAGATACGGTCCTGGAGGAATTTTTCCACTGGAACGCGACATCCGAAACCTTCGAATCGAGATCGTGTTCCGCCGGAAGCGGTATGAGAGAGCGCTCCTCGGGTCCGAACTGCGGTGTCCGAGTTAAGAAACATGGCAACACAACAAAATATCCTTTATTGCACCACTACCTAGAATTTGTCTGTTGGGCTGTCGACTCGTTGATTGGTCAAAGTCTTTTCGAATCTTTGCGCCTGACAATGTATGTGTGTGTGTGTGTGAGTCTTCAGATATGAACATTTGGCCACTCCAAAGAATGTTTTCTGATGTGAGGGGAGTTTTTGAAGCAAGGGAAAGATATTTTTTTCAGTGTTCGTGAGGATGTGCAAGGAGGCGGGTGCGTGGTTTCGTATGGAAATAATTCTTTTCCTTCTCAATGGCAAAATCCGCTCTCCCACAGCTTGAACTCCAGCTCTCCGATCTTTTTAAGGTATGTGGCAGTAACGGAGCTCTGTGGATCTGCGCAGAAGGGTTTCAACTCCGTTCCGGCTTAGGCAGTGTCCTCCACGAAGTCGGATTCGTTGCAACTCCGAAAATCCATTGTGATCGGAGAGAATACTGGCCAGGGCGTCAGTCATGCCGTAGGCTTCGTGCAGTTCGACGCTCCGGAGACCTCTGCAGTGTTTCAGGAGCATGTGGCAAGCTTCTTGAGATATGAACTTTCCCTGTCGAGGCCGCATTGTGAGGAAGCGCAGTCCGGCAAAGGGTTTCTCTCTCCCGTATTGAAGCCGATGTATCGGGTCGGAGTTACAGCCCAATAACGTGAAATGCTGGAGATCCAGGGAGACCAGATTCGGGCAGAAGGAATGCGTTTTCGGCAGTTCGATCACGTCGAAATGAACGAGACTGAGATGCTTGAGGTTTGGACCGATGGCCCCCAGCAGAGGTAAGATATCGTCGGTGTACGACGAGGGGATCACATGACTGTTCTCGAGCCGCAAGCAGGTCAAGTGAGGCAAATTCGAAAGTTGTTGCAAGTTCATGATCTCTTGAGTTATGAGCGAGATACTCTGGAGTCTGGGGAAAGTCAGCACTAAGTTCTCCATGCTGTTCCATCCCATCACTTTGTTGACTCGGAGCGATCGAATTTTGGCACATCGGGCAACCGCCGAGGGCTCGGACTCGGCCATGGCCTGCATGAGCCCTTCGAGGTCGATGCAGGTTACGTCGTCGACCTCAGGAAAAATCTCCAACAACATCAGGAGAGCACTTCCGCTCAGCGACGACGGTACCGAGAGGCGCTTGAGCGTTTTTCTCATGGCGAATTTTTCCCTCCGGGCTAGAGCCTGAACCTTGGCAACGTCCCCGCAGGTTATCGACGGATGGAGAATTTCCAATTGGCGGAGTTTTGCGCAGTGTCGCGCAACGCACACCAGATCCTCGTGATAGGCTTCCTGGAGAGCGCACTGCTCCAGGTTGGGGCAGCTCTTGACGATTTGTCGGATCATCGACGGCGCTTCGGGATGGTGTATCCAGCTGCCGACTAGTCGTAGTCGTTTGAAGTTCACACCGTGCGCCTTTACCAATTCGAAAATCGCCCCGATCTCACAATATGTCAAATCGTCGATGCACCGGAAGTCGAACTCTTCGAGATCATTCGCGAGCAGTTGCTCGGCTACGCGTTTCAGCGGTTCGGAGCTGCTCTCGTCGTTGAGGACCGAGTGGAGAACTTCTTGGAGGAGAGTCGATGGACACACGTTGAGTTGGTACGGTGGAGGTTCGCTTCGGCCTTCGGTCCTGGCCCACAGCAGTAGATTGAGTTTCACTTGTTCGATGCATTCCTGCCGGAGGGTCCATCTGAGAGCCCGAGGCTCGGGGTTGAGCTTCCGCCTGACGAGATCATCGTTTTTGTACAGCACAGGTTGGAACGCCATTGCGTTAGTTCTGGTTTTCGCGTGGATCACATTCAATATGGCCGCGAAGCTGCCATCAGCTGGCTCAAGAGCTGCGTCGTCGTCGTCGTTGAATGTGGTGAGCGGGAAAGCGAGCCAACAGCCAACCAGCCAACAGAATGTCAGCCATTTAGACGTTCAGAACGCGCGGACGGACAGACGAGCCCGACAGACACAGCTAGGGATATTCTAGTGACGACGAACGACACAGCGCTGCCTTCCCTCCCCTCAACAGGGCTGGCTCCACCGCTCAGCGACGACGCGACGGCGGTCGAGCGCGAGAAACACGCCGCGGTCGACGTCGACCGCGCACACATCGTCCCTCCACATGTTCCATGACGTATCGCCGACCGCGCTCGCTCTTGCTCAGAAGTCGGACCTCGGGACAGCTGATCTCTGCGGCGGAGATCTCTTTCGGATCTGTTCGCCTTAGTCCTCGACACAGAGGAGCTCAGTCAGTCGGCTCTCGCTGAGTTTTCGCTTGAGAATTTCCTCGGGAATAACCACGTGGTCAGATTTCGCTCGACGTTCGATTACGTTCCCGGTGGTCGACCCAACATTCCAATATGTTGCTTTGGCCTCGGGACAAGGGCCGATGCGCGATGGGGAGTCTCGATTTTGCTCGCTTCGAGATGAGTGTCGGAAGGTTTTTGACGTGAACCACGTCTATAAGGACACTTGTGTAAACACCGTTACGGAAAAGGGAACGGATGTGACGTCAGGCACCACCCAGTGAAAAACTCACCTCCACTGCATGGAATACTCATATTTATCTTCATTGCCTCCGAAGAACTCTCTCCCCAGGAGGCAAACACCTGCTCAAGAACGATTCCATGACCTCCGCCACTGAAAGACTTCTGTCCCCAAGACGCGCGGAGATTTGAAAAGAGCCCAGAGCAGACGACGGCGAGTTACTCCGCATTCGTTCCAGCCCCTCTTCTACTTGCTCGAATAACCTTCGAAAACGTCTCTGGCCATATTTATGCTGTT